TGTTACAGTCGGTGTAATTCAGAACAGATGCCTCACAGTGATGGCACACAAGTGCTGAAAGAATAATAATAATAATTATTATTATAATGGATATCTAATCACTTTAGTCTCTTACAGCAATTGTGTTCAGCAAAGCTTTTATCCATAATTTTGAACATAAGCACGTTAAAGAGACTCGTTTAAATAAGTATGTTTTATATCATAAATATTTTGAGAATATAACAATACAGTAAACGGCTAATTTTACATACAGCTATCACATGCAATTTCTAAGCTTTTAAGTACGTGTCAATGAAATGTTATTTTTGAGGAATATTTATTTTTCTGTTTGAAAGTTTAAGTTAAAATGTAACGTAATATGATGTATGTGTCATACCAGGTTTGTATGTTTGTATACTGGAAATAAAATAAACTTACGACATAGCTTGCAAAATCTTGGGCATGCAGAAGAAGACAATGATGGGTCTTTGCAAAGATTGGGGTTCTGTTGTTGCATCAACTGACACGCCTTTGTATCTATGTCGTGACATGCACCTGCACATAGTGATACCAGTAACAACACTAAAATTAAAAGATAATTAACAATTAAAAATCCATCAGTTTGAGGGATTTTTTGTTGTTGTTGTTGTTGTTGTTGTTGTTTTTTACATATTATTTGTCAAGGACAAAACATGGTGATCTACTTGTGTTGGTTCAACACGTGTGTAAATCAAATATTCATGAAGATCTCGGCTATCCTGGGATTGAGGCGTTGATATTTTTGCTTATTTATACATACGCCCTATTTCATACTCGTTCGTGTTTTTAATAATATCAATGTCGATTTGCAGTACAGAAACAAATAAAAAAAAATCAGGCTAGATCTCGGCTTTAGGGCCGTATTTTTTGATCTTCCTAAATATGTCTTTATACACTGATACAGCCCCTTCTTTATAGTTTCCATTAATCAAAGTTTATAAATTACAAATGACCTATACACATTTATTCTCATTTTACAACAAATTGTTATTTTCTGCTAGTTAAACAATTGATATTATTAAACTGCATCCATAAAACAAAATAGTTAAAAAATAAAATGCGATCCTTAGTTTTGTGATTATACATGTACAATGAATATATTCAACGATAAGGACAATGTTTCAAATTTTTTTGTTCGTAATCGAGTTCATCCGAATCAGAAATCTATATGTATTTCTTAAAACTGAAGTCTAAACTTAAAATATTTATTCTTTCACGTGTTATGAAAATAAGTTAAATAAAACCTGCAAAAATAAGTGCCAAAATTGACATTTTTACTAATCCACCTCTTAAATCACTGAAATGCTAAATAGGTTACGACAGATAGTGTTCTAAATATAGATCTACAGACCAACAAGGTCGTCACAGAGACACATTCAAAATAGTTTTATCTTACCATATTACTGTCATAAAATGACATAAATAAAAAATAATGATATTCCTTATATTAACTCTATCTTGATAATCCAAAGCAATATTTGTTCAGTCACGAGAATGAAATAAAAACCACAAAGAAAAACAACAAACGTATACTTCAATCTTTCATTTTCTAAATCATTCAAACCTTTTGTTGTTGTTTTTTAGAATCCGGATATAAAGCCTGTGTTAATATTTTGTCCAACATTTAGGTGTATGTTTGCAAAATATTGCCCCTAAATGGATGTAATTCTGTTGTCAGTATTTCAATTTCTTAAATGAAAACGTTTTGTCGTTTAATCTTACATACAACAATTATTTACGAATGTAACAAATAAATACTTTTTTATTTTTAAATAAAAAGCATTTAGCTAAGTAATTCTCCATCATCTTAAAAAATTATAAAACTTAATATTGATAAAGTGAGTATAATACAGTAACAGTTTTAATGTAAAAACACCAAAATAATAGAGACATTATAATTATGTTACTATGAAAGCGTTGAAAACTCTGACTTTCTTTGGTTCTTCTGCTTATTCAATAGCATGTTGTATCGTATAAGTACCTTATCTTCTTAAACATTTCATTCTTTATACCAGAAGTGATCATGATGTCAGCAACTTTTGTATATGAAAGCTTAGTTTGTAACAGACATGTCTCCTGCTGTCAAATGAAAACAATGCATAGGAACGGATATTAACATTACATTTATTATTATTTAAAACAAATTTCTATTACCTTTGTAATTCCTGAAAATACACCAATAAGTAATGTAGATTATGAATATTAAAAACAAAAACAAAATCTTCAAGCAGGTACCTGCATTCTGTAGGGTACTTCAATGTTATTGTATATTCATATGACAACCACTCTTCTGGCTAAACTAAACAGTGGAATTTCAGAGACATTTGAAGAGGTTTGAGATTAGGTCTTTATTTCTAAAGGTCATGTTAGTGCTACAAAAGAGAATTGTGCTTTCATTATTGAATTTCAGCCAAATTCTACAGAAATGTTAAATTTTTAAGTGTACATGATGTAAAGATTTTTATAAATATTAATTAATTTTTTCATTTTATACTAAAAGACCTTGAATGCTTACAGGTTTGAAAATTGGTTTTTCCACACTGTACATGTCCTGCATTTACAGAGAGTTCAGGTATTTAAGATTTCGACTTGGTCGAGATAATTCGAGCAATCAGATATAAGTATATAAGAATTCAATATATTTCGCATGCCTCTGATTGATATATATGCTATAACAAAATTAATTCAACAAATTTATATTTGCATTGCTAGTTTCAATCGGAATATTGGACATAAAAGGTTTAAAAATGTTCTCATTGCTGTAATTCATACAAACAGTTTTCTTGCTTTAGCTTTTACACCTTTTGCATTTGATAAGTTACACATTTTAGTCAAGATATTATGCCGACTGATCTAGGTCTGCGCTGGTCGCATGAGCAGAATCTGTAGCCGCCAGCTGGCTAATTGTTTAATAATAGAAATATTATTTTCGCGTAAGAAAGGGTCTCAAATCATTGCTTCATCGTGTCTGTTCTCTATGCAAAAATATGTTATTAGGGAAACAAGCAACAGAATAATATTCAACCTTAAGTCACGTTTTTTTTGTGTGTGCAGCTTTTCCATTTACTTCTCGTAGGGATCATGCTTTTATGAAAAGGGACAATTGTCTTTAAAAATGACAGGTCCTCATCACTATTTCAGTGGGCTCACAGTTCCTTGTGAAGGACGTATTTTCTACATGTGAGGAAGTCATATGTAACTTTGATCGGGTCATTTTTTTTTGCAAACTACATGAATATCTCATGTAAAAGACAATGATCTGCAATTTTGAAACATAATTATTGCAGCTTATTCAGTCGTCTGTATCATTCTTTGGTCGTTTATGAAAACTGAACCGATATTGTTTACTTCTAATCGTTATTTACCAACTGCATCGTTATTTACCAACTGCGTGTAAAATCTTGTTCTGTGTTGTATTGTGTATAGCATTGTGAAGAAACGATTCACAGTTAAATCAAAAATCTAAATATAATTATGCAACAAACAACCCCGCCACTTTAAAATTAAGTGGGAATATTACAATCAGACAATTTGTAGGCGCGGAGGCCTTTACTGGCTAATTCAAAAGTGTAATCTAAGTTATTCAAATGTCGTAGAGGCGAGGGCTACAGTTTACCAGTGCATTACTTAAAAATATGTTAAAATATCATTAAAATTTTAATAAGTCTTTCTGGCATCCCAATATGGCAGTTAGTGACACGATTTATAAGTACATACTTGACAAACAATGACGTCACAGGATCAACACCTAGTACAAGTTGTCCAAACTTCTCCAAAATGTCGTATGTGAATCCCTTATAAATTTGTTCAGCGATTTTGTTTAGTTTTTCAGTATGTCTTTATTTTGAATTTTCTTTGTAAGCTCGTTTGACTTGTGTCTAAAATCTTAGCTATGTTTCTCTTTACGCGGTGGCAAAACAATAACATCAATGGGCATATTTAAATCAAAAATGAATCAATTGGCCTTATTTATTTTGGTATAAATATACCAATTATTTATTTTGGTATAAATATACCAACCAAGTTTATAACCTACCTGTAGTTATCAGTACATTTTAGAGTCATCACTACAGCAATCTGTCATCACTATCACCTGTACTAGGGATCAAGCGTTTGCCAGCAACCTTAACCGATTGAACACTTGCCCATTACTGAAGGCCGTTTGCACAGACATCCAGAAATAAAATCACACACGAAATTGCGAGTAAATTTAAAATGAAATACCTAATTGGGAACGACTGCCTGTGTATCTTAATCAGAATTTTGCTTCCCTTCAGAAAAATTGGTTAAAAACGATGTAACGGTCCAAAGTGAAGGTGGAAAGGTCCGTCTTTCCCTGATGACGTCATTTTTGCCGTTTTACCTATAATGTGTATTAATGGTAAGATGCATTGCTGAGCGTAACTCATAACGGGGTAAATCAGACTAAAATAAACATTCTCACACTTTGATTTTAATTATAGTACTTCAAATTGTTTTCATTGCTTGCCAAAAATCTTTGATGTGACAGAGTGCTGTTTAAGGACATGAACCTTTTTAATCAGATATGAATTTTCCAAAGCTGTCCATACACGTGTGCACTTTGAAGCCAATCGTGTAAAATGGCTGCCATTCTTAATTGATATTAAAACTTTAATTTGATGTGAAATAATTAGATATATTGTATTTACAGACTCTTACAGACTCCAAGACAAATCAAATATGATTGAAGACTCCTCTTCCTATTATGTATGGTATTTTTACTTTAGATATCCAGCACATCATTAATGGTGTTGCTTTCAAATTTACTAATGGATATAACCCGAACATGTCAGAGATTCTGCGTGTCATATGAAGTATACACTTAGTCTCGATGAAAACGACATTGAAAGAGGTGGCGTGACCGAATTTTTGCTTCGCAATTTTCAAGAATTTTGGACACTGTTTACCTTAGGACGGACAAGTCTTCACTCTAATTGCATATTCAGAAACAAACCTTGATATAATTTAAATTTAACTTTTATTCATAAGCCATACATTTAAGAACAAATCAGTTGAAGAACCTTCGACAAACTGTTTCTAAGTGATGCATAGTCATTAACGTTAATGACATGATTGGAGTCGGTGGCCAATTGTGATAATCCTGCAGGACTGGCACCACCTACATTGATAACCGTCACGGACGACAACTGTGTATGTCCAGTATGTCCATCAATGTGAGGAGGAAGGTGATGGTGTGCCTCAGGCGATGCGGTGTGATCAGCTATAATGACAACCGAGTTTTTGTAGGATGCTCTCCCATCAAGGTGTAGGTGATCAAGTTCCCTGGTTAAATAATGGGAGACATCACTGACGGTCACGGTACTGACATCTTGGTGAAACGGAAGTCTATCTAAGGCTTGCATAAGTTCGGAGAGACTCTGATGAGAATCAATATGTAAACGTCTATGTACACTGTAATCCAGTATTGCTAATCCAACAAGATTGTTAGTTGGTCCAATAACAAGGTGTGAAGCTAAATCTTTCACAAATTGGATGTTGTATTGCGACGCTGTTTTATCCTGAGAATCTTGTATGAGTATTTCTATGTTACGGTTGCATACTGGATAAAGAATAAAGTGAAATATATATACAAAGACAAATAAATATAAAGATATGTGTGAGCTTTTGTATCTTTTTATTCCATCTTGGAAAATAATAAACCTAGTCCCTTTTTCTTTTCACACTGTAGCATTCATTACCTTAACCAGTAATTATTACTTACGCCATAACATAAAGAATACTATAGGAACACACTACCAGAATTTAAAATTTTTAACATTTATAAGAACAACACCAGCATACTATAAAGTGAGATTGTATCACCTCTTCACCTGCACATTACTTCTACCAGATTTTAAAACTTTGAGTCTTAACATGATACTACCTTTTGTAAAGCGGAAGGCTTATAAGCACGATGCCACTAAGTGTTGTCACTACTAGGCTAGAAACTACAAGACTGTATCCAAACAAGATTGTTAGTTGGTACAATAACAAGGTGTGATATTAAATCTTTTTTCAAATTGTATGTTACACTGTGACACTCTTCCGTCTGGAAAATCTTATATGAGCATTTCCTTGTTACGGTTACATACTTGATATAGAATTAAGTAAAAGACAGTATAATATATATAATAAAATTTATCTGGAGATAAATGTGCATTTTTGGTATTTTTACTATGATTTCCATCTTGGAAATCGTCCTATCTACCTTTATGACCATTCAGCTTTTACAACTAAGTATTAACACTACCAGATTGAAAAACTTCTATTTTTTACATATAGGATGCCGAATCATTGTAAAACATCGAGCTTTTACAAATGAGACGCCTTAGCATTGCCACTACCAGATAGTTAAAAAGTTGTGTAAGTACGGTGCGAAAGTTTAAGAATTACCAGTACCAGATTGTTAAACATCAAGGTTTTACAAGAACGTCACATAAGCATTATCACTACTAGATTGGAAAGTTTTGAACTGTTACAACTAAGACGCCAAAGCATTGTCATTACCAGATTTGTTAAGTTCGAGCATTAGCAACTTAGACTCCACCTAAGTATTAATTGTCACTAACAGATTGTTAAACTTCGAGTGTTTACAAAGACGACGCCTAAGCATTTCTATCCGGAGGTGTACTGGTAAGAAGCCAAGGTAATCCTCGCATGTATCAGTGCTATACACTGGGTATGTAAAAGAACCAATGGGTCTTTTCTATAAGAGCTAGGGACTGGTTCCCGAATTTCCCGGTATCTAGTCTAGAGTCATGTCTACCAAATCGACCTAAGAAGCCCAGTTTAGCATACTTGTTGATGTTCTGGCCTGAATACTACTTGTATATTACATTACATTACACCACCAGCCTGTAACACATCGAGTTTTTATAAGTTCAACGTCTAAAAATTACCACTTTCAGATTGTTCACCACTAAGACGACTAAGCATTACCATTACCAGATTGGAAATCTTCGAGCTTTTACAGCTAAGACTACTCCTTAGCATTGTCCCCCTTACCAATTGTAAGACTTCGACATTTTACATCTAAGACGCTTAAGCACTACAAGATTTGAAACTTTGTTTTTGTACAACTAAGACCCCTACCAATTGTCATTACCAGATTCAAAAACTCAGAAATTTTAAAACTTCGGCGATCAGTCATTACCACTACCAGATTGGAAAAGCTTTTACAACTAATATTCCCCAGCATTGAAACTACCTGAACTTATGCAATGAAAACGCCTAAATATTAGCATTACCAGATTGTAAAACCTTTATAACTACAACACTTAAGCTTTTGCCACTATTTCGTAAAACTTTTACAATTACGAACGTAATCATTGCTATAACCAGGTTTTACACTTTTGCTTTTATAAGAACTACACCCTAGTATGACCACACTTGTATAAGTACGTCGCACACACATTACTACGACTAGATATATTAACATCTGCATCATTTATTTTGGCTTTTCTATTGCAAAGCTTAATTCAAAGGATACGGACGCTTCATGGATTACACCTTAATTTAAAATTATAAGATAGAAGTTAATATACATGTAGAATACAATTTAAACTGAAACAGACATATGGTGAAAAATCTGACCTGGTGGCGATGAAGTTGTTGGTATAGTTGTTGGTATAGTTGTTGGTATAGTAGTGGGGAAGTTACACATGTCCTCTGAACAGCAATGTGTTTGAATGTCACGTCTACCAAATGGCATCAAACCGGTTCCATCGCACATCTTATTGAATGAAATGGTAAACGGTAAGATAAAATTATTATTTTCTCAATTTCTGTAATAGAAAAAAATGATGTAAATGTTGAACGAAATATCGTCCTATTTGGAATGAATACTTCTGGGAACTTTGATACCAACAGCATTATCTATACCCTGAACTTTAATGTTTATGAATGGTCTTCATGTTTAACGCCAACTTGAAGACACGGGCGTAATTACTGTCACCAATTTCAACATCAATATACTAAAACTGATAAGAAAGCCGTATAGAGTCATGTTATCCTGTTCAAGCATGAATAATTTAAAGATAACCGGGAAGGGAAATAATGGCATTACAATAAAACTTTGACGAATATTGGCATTACCTCCAAGCTTGCGCAGTTCATCCGGTATTCATGATGACCGTCCTTTGAGGAAGTCAGTTGATGTAGCATACATTGCTGAAATGAAAACACCTTGCCATGTTCATAACTTCACTAAGGTTATATCCTTTCGGCGGCCACCACCTCTTTAAGCATTTTCATAGAGACCCCCTACCTCAAAGTGTCGCCTCTCAGTCCGTATAGGCAGTTACTGGCGATGTTTCAACCCTATGACATTCTGATTTAGTGGTGTGTGACATAAAAGCGCGCGTCAGAGCACGCGATTTCAGGACGTGACGACATGCGCAGGCTGTTATGGTGATGTATGCGCGGCTAACTTAAAAAAACACACAAAAAACCGGAAATATAAACGCAGTGCAGCTGTCTCCCACATGGTTAACTTTGTGTTTGTTCCCCACCTTGACCATTTATCTGTTCGAAAAATATAACATTTTGGCAGGAAAAGTCACATGACACGCACCTGGTGAGAAACATGTGTTGGCGGTAGAATTCAAATTTCCAATTTTGTCAAAATTCGCACGCAAACACGTCTTTAAATGGAAATAGCGGTGTTCGAAATTCGTCCTTGACCTTGATCACGTGACATCCTGTATTATGCCATGCATATGTTTCAATGTTGGAGCCTAATCCAAATTTGAGGAATTAATATGGAATCTACGGAAGCCCAAAAGTGCCACCTTCGCGAATACGTTTTATTACGTTACAGCTGCTGAAAGGATATAGGCATGATTTTGTTCCTCTAACGGCACAAAATTACTGTTTTAATGGAATAATGAGTGCGAATGTAAAAGAGATGATTCGCAATAAATGTACTTAATTTAAATTACATGTAATGCATAAAAGAAATGTGTATGTTCTATGAAGGACTGGCTTGTGCTTGCTAAAAGATGCATGATGTTACGAAATACTTTATATTCAATAAATATAACTTCGAGCCAAATGCACATGAATTGCTGTTTGTTGCTGTTTGGTCTTTTACTTGTTTGCTCGGTTTGTCATGACTAAATCCATGACGATAAGAGCGTTTCTTTTTCATCCTTTGGTTGGATATTACATCAATCATGTCGATTAATGTTGAAACCACCCAAAAACATTAGGTAGGTGTAGAGCGGGTGCACCTAATGCCGAACATGCTCCTAATTCCGACCAAAATATTATATATAAAAGCGCGCCAAATAATAATACAACGTGACGTCATTTACGACGTCACATCATTAAGTTGGTACCCAGTACTGTGCACGCTGGTATTTCACTGAAACAACGTAAGGGGCTTAAATTCAAAACAATGAAATTATCAAAGTGGTGATTTCACTGTTTCAAACAGTGAAATTACCAGTTTTAATTCACTGATATATTTCAATAAACAATCGAAAAGCATGTAATAAAATTCATTTAATATTTCATGTTTAACACAATTCAAAAAATTGAAATCATTATTATAACGTCAATTTGTCTCTCTTTCCACCCGCAACATTTTGAATTCGCGGTTGTGTTGTTTGTTGTGGTTTTGGGCATTCAAGGATTTACTTCAATTTTTGGTTAGACATTTTATTTATTAGCTATTTTTTTACAATTTTTTACTAATATCATAAAATATTGAATATTGATGCTTTAGTCAAATTCTTTTGAAATCAATGATGTAGACAAAAATAAAAATCATGTGTAAAGCCCCTGTACATGTTTTAAGGTCGTATGAATGAATAACTGGCAGTGTTCGGAATTACATAATGAACTCACTGAATGTTCCAAATTCCGAACAAAACTTGAAAGAGAATGATTCACCCCATTGGACTCAATAACTACAGCAACTACTGTTGTTACAGCAGCTGTGACTCCTCCTACATCAATTGGTAAATTATCGCCGTCAGATATTGTAAACGAATCTGTGCTTGATGAAATACCTACAGCTTCAAATGATTTAGTCACCACTCCATCTAAGCCATTCACAGTCGTGTCTCTCTCAATGGAGCCGACTGCTACATCAACTGCCTCCATGTTTACTGTGACACCTAACATTACGACTGATTCTATAACAACACCATCGAAATCTTCGGATGGATGTGTTCCTAAAGCAACAGACGTATCTATGTCACCATTTAGCAAACATTTAATATTCCCAAAGACTGAAACAAAGAAACCAAAAGCACGTAAAATGATAATGCCAAAAGCAACAGGGGAAAAGTACAGATAATGGTTGAACGAAAAAAGAAGAAAAGAAAGAAAAGGAATTGAAAAAAAAAACAAGAACGATAGAGAGAACGATTACAAAATAATCTCAAGAGAGCCAAAGAGTTGAAAGAAAAACAGATTGCACTCGAAAAGAAACGGAAGGATAGAGAAGAGGCGAAGAAAAAGCTGAGAGAACTGAAGGAGAAAAAGAAGCAAGAGACTAAACAGATCATAAAAGAAATTGAGGCATCCGATTCAGATGATGATATATTGCAGTAAGTCCTACAAGCTGTTTTAAGTGCAAAACACTTTATGAGGACTATATACAGTGCATAAATTGTTTCAGGCGCTGTTTTTCTTATTTGTGTTGCCGATGAACTTACCGACTGCTCGGATGATCTTCCTTTTGAATGTAAATACTGTTAGTGTTAGTGCAACAACATATATTCTCTACATATAGAAGATTACTTGATGCAAACTGTAGTTATAATATTGTCGCTTAAAATATGTTTGAATATATTGTTTGAATCCTTTTTTTGGTTTTTGAAACTATATATTTTCCTTTTCGTTGACATTCAATACTTTTGTTGCAGAAATGAATATGTTTAATAAAATTAACATTTTAAAAATACTTTGATGATTGACAAAACTCTTTTCTAATGTAGATTTGTGCCAAAGTACGAAAATGGTGTGTATTTGTTTACTCAACATATTTATTTTAAAAAGTTCCTCATGTTCGGAATTAGGAACACCAATGTTCGGAATTACAATCATCATTCGGTATTAGGGGCAGTTGGTAGATCTTTTGATCGGACGATAACGCCTTTATTTGTATTCGTCAGGGTTCTAATACTGGCCAAAATTGTAGCATAATAACTAATCTATTTAAGAGTTGTCTCTCTTTAGTTTAAAGTGCTCGTAATTCCGACCGAGATAAAACGCGGCTTAAGTGTTCGGTAATAGGTGCACCCGCTCTAATATTGTATCATTTATATAAAATAAATACCTCTCCTACTTGACAAGTCTTTGATGTGCTACAGTCGGTAAAATTCAGAACAGATGCCTCACAGTGATGACACACAAGGGCTGAAAGAAATATTCTGATTTATATAATGATGTTACTGGCTACTAAATCAATATCATTCCCTTCTAGTCAGCTTTTTACATCGTTAAATCAAAGCACAGAAGGCGCTGAATTTGTTTGGGTCTCAGAATGTAAGAAAGGTACAGGTTGTGAGATTATATGTATAGTGCCACCAATGCTTTCCAGCGTTTTAATTGTAGTAAATTGGCTATAAGACTAATTGCAACACTTATATTCAATTCAATGTTTATTTGACTTAAACAATTTGAAAAAAAAATGAGTTGCCATTACTGGGATTTGAACTCTAGACCTCTCGCTTCCTAAGCGAGCGCGAAAACCCTTCAGCCACGGTGAATTTATATGTGAACGTCCTGAAGAAAACCATATTATTCTAAATTAGAGCTTGTAACGACTTTAACTGTTGTTTAACACAGATGTAAATAATCCTGGAGCTTACTATAAGCATGTATATTTATAAAGAATCAAAGGGCTGCAAGTTCTGTGGTATTTTCTGATCTTTTTGCAATCTAAATCCTGTATAAGTTTTATTTATGTATTATAATTCATTTTGCAAGGCACCAGAGTTTGATACATACGGAATTCTGCATAACTAGAGTTGCATCAAAATATCATTTATGTTCATTTTTTACGACAGCTACACTTTATCCTTGCTTATCATGGCTACTTCCTTAACAAAGACACTTAAAAAAGAATTAAAAAAAAAAGTTTCCTCGACTGGGATTTGAACTTCAGACCTCTCACTCACTAAGCGAGCGCGTTACCACTGCACCACGGAGAAGTTACACATACAAAGTTTGAATAACATCAAGTCATTCTTAATTTAAAACTTCCATTGCATAATCCTTATTAATTTCGAGGTATTTTGTTCAGGATAAACCTGTTGTTTAAAACTGAAGTAAATAATTTAGCGAAAATCTTCTCGCTCAAACAGTCCGACATGTAGAATCTATATATTCCACTACTCGGTTTGTGTAGTATTCGGTAATCGACATCGCTAAAATAGTATTTTCATTGATAAAATCATTTTCATCCGCGTAATGTGTGATTGTGCATTTATTGACAATTCTATAAGCCAACGCTATTTTTAAACTTTGAATGCGTTGTGATTTGTTGGATACTTGTAACAAAATAAAAATATTTCTTTCTTTTAAATCGCTAGTTTAAAGCTGTTTTGAGAACTACTTGTTGTTAGGTTTGTCGTAAACTTCTGTGTCAGAGATTGAATGTCCGCTTTGTATTTACTTATTTTCGATCAGAAAATACAATAAAACAATATTAGAAATCTTCGACCATTCGGGAATTATTTTGCTTGAAAATTAATGTGCCTGTCTTTGACCATCTTTACGCAGTGATCTCCCCTGAAATTTTCGGCGTTAGTGTACATATAAAGGGAAGTAACCGCTTCAAAAAAGTGGACTACTTTCGGCATTTGCAATTAACAGCATTAGACTCTGAAATTTCGCTACCATTATTTGTTTGGTCTGACGACCCAAACAAATAAAAACTGATATTTTCAGTTATTTGCCAACTGGTAGAATATCTTTCCGTATTCTGTAAAGTAGTCGGTCTTGTGACTGGCACTTTTTAACAAATTCTAAACTGATTTATAATTATAATGGTGAAATGATCAACAACAAAAAAACACGAAAATTCTTGTATACCTGACTTACCACTTCTTCAAAAAAATCTTTACTGATTTATAATGAAACAGATAGATAATGCACTATATTAAACTTTATAAAGATTAGTTGTGTTGGGCTTTCTTTAGTGATTGTTTGTTCCTATTTTTTCAACCTGGTGTTAATGAAAACACTTTCAAAAATGACATTTAAATACTTATTGACGGACGTAACAAATATGTTCTTCAAAGCCTTTGTCTATAATTTTGTATAAAAAAATATCATGTGCTTCAATTTTGAGTAGCTCGCACTATGTTTTACATATATGTACTATATTCAGTAAAAATATATGTTTAAAGCAATATAAATTTCGTACAACATTGACAATTAAAATTGCTCTCATTTTAGAAATAAATACTATATATAAACGAACTTAACTTACAAGGCAAAGAAATAGGACATGTAAAATCGTGTATACGTTTATTTATTTTAATCATTTTAACAAGTCAGGTTTAAAGTTTAAAACTTATATTGTGATGTCTGTGTCATGCCTAGTTACGTTCCGTTAATAAAATAAACTTACGACACAGCTTGCAAAATCTTGGGCATGCAGCTGAAGACAATGATGGGTCTTTGCAAAGATTAGGGTTTTGTTGTTGCATCAACTCACACGCCTTTGTATCTATGTCATGACATTCACCTGCACATAGTGATACCAGTAACAACACTAAAATTAAAAGATAATTAACAATTAAACACACATCAGTTTTAGTGTGGTTTTTTTAGAAAATGTTTTTCATGGACAAAACAAGGTAATCTACCGGTGACAATACAAAATAGTGGTACGTACCTCAAGTGTGATCCCTCGGAAGCATAAAGCACAACAAAATTACAGGAAAAAATGCAGATTTGATTTGATTGAGTCTGTACATGAGGGATAATGAAAAGTGCAACATCCCTCACGCCCCCTATACACCGGCTTTATATAGCGGTACTAAATTTTCAACACTTTAAAGTGTTGGAATCAATGATCCCGAAAGACCAGAAAATATAACAACACTGAAGTGAAGTACGGGGCAATATTTTTATAGCTGACCACAGCATTTGACACCTGCTGTTGTGAAGTATAAAAATCTGGATAAAGTGTGATCCTTCAGAAGCACTAATTACAACAAAATTACATGAAAATTGCAGACTCTGTATGATTGAGTGTGTACATAAGGGATACTGAAAAGTGAAACATCCCTCACACCCCCTAGCACCGGCTTGAGGAAGCTAAGAGGAAGAAGATTTACGAGTTGACGCAAAAATTTCATTAACAGAAATGGAAATTATCATACTCCTGATAGAGTAAAACATTAAGATAGAGATAACTGGGAAGGGACAATCAAAGAGTTTTGATATAGTCTTTCAACACGAGCTGAAACACGAATGGTATATCAAACATCAACCTGTGTAGGTAAGAAAATAAATTTAAAAAAAATATATGAGAAGATGACCAATACAAAGATGGAACGACTGCATCTTATTAGAGATAAATAAGAAAAGGAAAATATGGAACGAAGAGGGAATCTGATTTCACTGAAAGTCGTCAGAAGAATAAAGAATTTGAACAGAAAGACTAATAACAGGAAAAGAAGATGTACTTACTAATAAGTTGGCCAAACGAAGAAAAAGAAACAGAAAGGGCTTCGACGATACAAACACCACGCATTCATAATTTATTTGAAATCATGTCTTGTATGTAAGAATGATAATAAAGAATTGTTATGTGATTACAACGGTATGTGACTATTCTTTGATGAAAATGACCCCTGTCTGTTTCAATCGGAGTCTGTCTGATTAAATACATATGGATGAATTGAATAAAGGTATTCATTGGTCATTTAAGCCACTCATAGTTACAAGGGTCACCAATACTGGCATGCGAGCAGTTCCCGTACAGAAGCAGTACCCGTATTTTTCACAGGCGGCAGTATCAGTGTTTGGACACCCCACCCCTATCTGCCCCTAGACCCCTTCTACAACCCTGAAAAAAATTCAACACTCTTAGGCTTACTATAAGGTACCAAATACAAAACCACCGATGAAATTATATATATAAAAAATTTCCACTATCAAAATTATAGTTATAGAAAGGTGAAAAGCCTACTATATGTTCATTTGCCAAACAATGTGGAACACGGGAAATCGTCGTTTCGGTGACTAAGGCGCATAGTGGAAAAAATTTTTTATATATATAATTTCATCGGTGGTTTTGTATTTGGTACCTTATAGTGAGCCTAAGAGTGTTGAATTTTTTTCAGGGTTATAGAAGGGGTCCAGGGGCAGATAGGGGTGGGTTGTTCAAACACTGATACTGCCGCCTGTGGTATTTTTCATGTAAACGCTTGATTTTTACTTGCATTCTTCAAAAATTCATTTCAAATCAAGCAGATACATAAACGAGACAAAATCTAAGTGTCAGTTCGGCAGTACGTATAAAAAGTCTCATTTTAGATCACTTTCACCTGTGCGTTGTCAAAACGTGACCTTGTTTTATCTGGGGGATTCCGTCCTTGCGCGCATGCGCAAAAATACTTAAACGTGAGGCATGATAAAGGGTTTTCCACTAATACCACCTGTTTACTGATAAGAAGGCAATGTGATGAAAACTTGTTAAATTATCAGAATTTTGACCAATATTACTATATAAAATAATTTTATGGCTTTGATGCGTAAAATATCAGGCATACAAGCATGCCATCGCATGTGAATGCGTTTGGGGGTAACGGTACCGGGTAATAGATGCACGCGTTTAGTCTACTTTCTATTTCCTGAATTACATCTATTTATCTCTTAGAAAATGGTCTGTTCAACAATTATAAATGAAAAATAGGTCCGATATAATAAAATTGTATAATTATAATGGGTTAAATTTTATGTACGGGAACTACTTCTATTCATACAAAATAATGGATAATTTCGGTACCCCATATGAGGCCTCATAACTAAGGGTTATTCTATGTATAGAACATGATGGAGTTTCCATGATTTGTGTGACGAGCCGAATATTGATGTGTAACATTCAAATTTTAGTGAGTGAGCGTAATAAAAAATAATGTTTAAGTAATTACGATTTTTGTACGGGAACTGCTCGCATGCCAGTAAAGGTCACGTGGTCACCTGAATGAAAAAAAAATACTCTAACTGCGTCTTCGGGACTCATAATGCATATTAAGTAATTAGTCAGTAATATTAACACTATTTTCTTCCAAAATAAATTATCTCGACAAAAGTTCGCAGTTTTTGTTAGGTTTATCATTGTGAAAGTTGCTACGCTCTTGGAAATGGAATTTGGAGAGGTTTTCTCCGTTCAACACAAATAACGACTGAAGACATTGAAGTAAGGTCGACCTGCAGCATAGAATCCGTCACCAGTGACATGTCGAAAAATGATTATTTTCCTACAACTATAAGATATAAATAGCAAATCTGCAGAACATAAATCATATTATGGAAAGATGAAAAAATTATTACCCTGCAAATAATATTTAAAAAAATAATAATGATGTATTCACAGTATTTAAGCTAAAATAATCAGTTTTAAGTATGAACTAACTTCTGCTTGTTAAGCAAAATATTTCTTTAGTTTAAAAGCCTAATTAATCTCTTATGATAAATGTCTATTCCGACTTGGAATTAACGAAAAACTGTTTTGGAAATGACACGAAATATTAAGATTAGGAATACCACGGCTGAGTATTTTTTTTTTTAAAGTTACTTCTTGTTTAAGTATAGTGACGCCACAGACATCTTCACCACTGAAGTAGACGCTGGTGAGGGGTGAGGGCATAAGAGAATTTGCACGTTTTCATTATCTCTTATGTACAGACTCAATAAAGCAACAAAAATATCTAAAATCTGAAAAAATCGAGCCTGCATATTGACTTGAACAGAGAAAGTTTATTTAAATAAGACTAGGAATAATTGCAATGGGAAAGTCAAGGTCACATAAAATTAAAGATATTTTACTCCAACAGCAGCAGCTTCCAGGAGTGAATTATCGCTATAAGATTGATCAGATGCGATCTGAAGCGAGGGGGCGTTTTTCTTTAGAAGGAGTTAATATTTTACAGAAAACAGGTCACTTTTTATCGACTAATGACTTTCGAGGTCAATTTACTTCATTACACCAGTACAGACCGAAACATCGAGCTAGAAGTTACCCAAAAGGCTCTGTCGAGAGTATTATAAGAATAAAACATAGTTCTATAAATGTTATACGAAATGTGTTGCGGATCCAGGGTCATTGTGATTACATTTAAAAAGTTCGTAATCGTGTTGAAGACATATATGTCTCTTTAAACTGTTTTATCATGATAATCATTCAAAAATATCTTACTACCGAGAGATAATTATTGATTTAGTAAGTGGTTCAACTATAAATTTAATAAAACCTGCAAAAATATGTGCCAGAATCGTCATTATCCCCAATCCACTTCTAAAATAAGTGTCAAAATTCAAGAGGTTATTAAAGATAGTGTTCTCTATATATAGATTTACATAAGACAAGGTCGTCATAGGGGCATCTTCATATAAAGTTGAATCGGTAGGCGACAAACCGACATATTGAAAGTCTATGTACATCCGCACATAGTCCAAAATTCTAAATTACATGCAATTACAATTTCATAAAAAATAAAGTTCTGTTAGCTTGGGTGTCAAAGCTTGCTTAAGATATTTTTTGCCTTGCTGTGCCTTCTTTTTAGTTTCAACTTTAAATACATGTATGTAGCGACAGTTTAAACTTTTGTTCATCTATAAATAATTCAATATTTTGATATAATATCATGTTATGTGTTTTTGTATCTTTATTTGTTTTAATATTGCAAGTATATACATGTTGGTGTTTCTGATCTAAGATTACTTAATTTATCATTCTTAAATGTCCAAATACATGAAACTTTTGGAAATACACTAAACAAATCGTATTGGTGTGCATGTATAAATGGACTCATACGTAGCCCAATTGCTGAACATTTCGTTAGATACAGTTTGGAGACAGATTATAATGTTCCGTTTATTCAATTCTATAAAAAAAAACACAAATGTAACGCACGTGGCTAGTATGTGATAGTGTGTGAAAACTCAATGATGGAAAATGACGATGTCAGTGATAGTTATTCTTTTACCGTGTATGCCTACCACAACCATCTTTAGTCATGGTCAGGTTGTTTATCTTATAATTTGACATATTAGATTTACTCATTTTTACCCTTTAACAGGTGACGATGCTCCATCTTGTATAGCTTGCAATGAATACTTTACTGTCAAATATTTCTTCTTGACTGCCATAATTTTGAATATGTTCGTTAATTATAAATGTCGTGTCATTTCACTTCAAGAACTTTTATGCCTACTTATAGAGTTCGGCGCGGTATGACCAGTAAAGTGTCAGTGTCGCTGTTAGTAATGTGTTAGTGTCGCTGTTATATAGTAATTTGTCAGTGTCGCTGTTATAAAGTAATTTGTCAGTGTCGCTGTTAGTAATGTGTTAGTGTCGCTGTTATATAATAATTTGTCAGTGTCGCTGTTAGTAATGTGTTTGTGTCGCTGTTATATAGTAATTTGTCAGTGTCGCTGTTATGTAGTAATTTGTCAGTGTCGCCGTTAGTAATGTGTTAGTGTCGCTGTTATATACTGATTTGTCAAGGTCGCTGTTAGTAATGTGCTAGTGTCGCTGTTAATAATGTGTTAGTGTCACCGTTAGTAATGTGTTAGTGTCGCCGTTTGTAATTTGTTAGTGTCGCCGTTAGTAAGGTGTCAGTGTCGCTGCCAGTAAAGTGTCAGTGTCGCTGTTAGTTATGTGTTAGTGTCGCCGTTAGTAATGTATTAGTGTCGCCGTTAGTGAGGTGTCAGTGTCGCTGCCAGTAAAGTGTCAGTGTCGCTGCCAGTAAAGTGTCAGTGTCGCTGTTAGTTATGTGTTAGTGTCACCGTTAGTAAAGTGTCAGTGTCGCTGTTAGTTATGTGTCAGTGTCGCCGTTAGTAATATGTTAGTGTCACCGTTATAATTATAGTAATGTGTCAGTGTCGCCGTTAAACCCAAACAAACATTTACTTTTCACATACCATCCTATTTATTGCGCATTTGTGTTTGTTATGTAATTTAATAAATGGAACACAATATAATTTCTTTCCACTCTTTTTTATTTAAAAAACTGCATGATCGGGCTAGTATTGATACAAGTATGAGGCCATTGATATATGCACACTTATAAGATGTGTCAAGTAAGTAAGTCTCACCATGCTTCATAGCTATCTTAAAGATCTAACAAAATGAATTGATAACAAAATGAATTGATGACTATGATATCGATAATAATATCTAATCGGAAAAGATTTCAATGGCCATTACCACATAAAGTGATGAGACCTGTTTAACTTTAAATACATTCACTACATTAGATAATTTATATAAATTCATTCCATATATCTGATTATTCTATTACTGCTTTTTCTGCTGGGGGGTTGAAGCCTTTGTTACCACTTTATCCCATATTCCAGTTCATGTACAAGCGGACGTTCAGTATAACATTTTTTTCATCGAATATGTATTGTCTTGGCATCTTACGTGGATACATCGCGAAACTGGAAAAAATGGAAACATCTAAAAAATAAATCTGCAATCATTATTTATATTTCATGTTTGTTAATTTTCAAAATAAACCGGTACAACTTAAACTTAAAAATTAGAGATGGGAAATTAATATGACGGACTATTTGTGGCATTAATACAATCTTAGATTTTGATTTGGACATGAATTAAATACCAATAGTAATGGTAAATAATATGTACAATACAAGTTCAGCTGAAAACAGATACAGATCTATAAATGGCGAGATAATTACTTATATAAATAGCAAGAGAATTGTATTAAACTAATCTTATATTTACTAGTATGTCTTTTTATTAACTGAAAAAAACGAGGAAGAAAAGTGCCTACTCTTAACCAAAGTGTAAAGTCTCCGTTACACGTGTTTTACATGTCATTCATACGTAATTTTCAACAACTGATTGCTTAATTGAATTCAGTTTATATGAGATGATATGAAACAAAAAATAACAAAGATAGCTTTATTTTATTAAAACAAAAACAACAGATAGTTTGGAACATATGTCACATCACAATTCTATTTATATATATAACCTATTTTTTACCAATCTAGATCAAACAGTGCTTAAAAGGTAATATTTTTCCTCGTTCTTGACCTGTTACCACTTCAAACAAAGTCGTTGCAAACAGGGCAATCAAATAACTTCAGATTTAGTTTTGTTCTGGAGTGATCAGGAGGTCATTTTGTTAAATCTTAAATAAATTGATGATGTTGTTTTATGACTAAAGCATTATACTTCTTCGGGTAGTATATGAAATAAAATATTAATTCCAAATTATAGATAAAACCTCTCTAAAACTGAAATGGAAAAGTGGAAATTACTTTTTTTAGGAATTACATTCGTTTTGAAATATGTTTGCTCGGACGCTGACCAACCATTCATTCGAAAGCAAGGAAAATCTGATCATATAGGAAAAGCCTTAGTCTTTTCTGGGCTATTTGCAAAGTTAGATCACTGTAAATGGTTTCATCCCTGTATATGTAGAGACGAAAGCTCGTACACGAATTCTGTATATCAACTGATGGTGAACTGCACAAATGCTGGTCTTAAATCTGTGCCGGAAAATATTCCAGTTACCACAACAGTGTTAACATTGAACGAAAACCGAATCGAGGACATAAAACCAGGTGCGTTTAAGGAGTTAATTAATCTAAAATACCTTGACATTTCTAAAAACCGACTAACACAAATCAGAGATGGTGTATTTACAGGGCTTGCAAATCTGCATACACTTGAAATGAGTGGAAATCAAGTACGTTACAACAGTAGGTGTATACCGAATAACGTATTCAAACCCCTAGAGAAACTCGCACGTTTGAGTCTCAAGCAGAACCTGGCGGATATTGACATTAATGAGACATATCCTATTGACGCTTTGAAAAAACTCACAAACTTAACACAACTTCTAATGGACGGACTAAAGGTTGAAAAGTTCGATCAACCATTCGCTTCATTAAACAGCGTAGAATCACTCGACCTAGGTAGCAATATTGGTAGATGCAAACTGGATACAATACGTGCAGATATGTTTAAAAATGCAAATAATATCACAATCTTGAAGTTAAGTTACTGCAACGTTCAATATGTTGAATCCGGCAGCTTTTCAAAAATGAAACGCCTGAGTACCCTTGATTTGTCTCACAACGAGCTTTTACATTTTAAAAGTTTACCAAACATAACTTCTGGGTTAAAGTCACATAAAATGAAGGAGTTAAAACTTGCTAAAATCCACCAAACATTTGGCGATTGTACTAGACTTGAGCAGAAACATTTATCACACCTACAATACATGACTATAGAAAGCATAAATCTTGATACAAATAGACTAGCGTATATCGAAAAGAACGCAGTTGATTGTATTCCACCATCTATTAAAACATTGTCTTTGACAGGCAACATGCTCCTTGCTGGTGAATATGTGGAGAGAATATTACATAGTCAAGTGTTTGTAAATCTTCAATATCTCACATTAGCAGAGCTTAACTTGAATTTTGACCCTATGAAATTTTTCAGCGACAGAACGAAAGAAATGATTGAGTCAATGCGAGAGAAAAATGACAGAAAATCTAGTGAACAAGACAGTTTAACGGCAAGCGCAAGTGGTTTACATAACGAAAATATAAACAATAGTGTCCATTTGCAACAAAAACAGTTCTGTGCAAACTGCTTGGAGAAAGGTTTGAATTATGAAACAATTTTATCCTTTCCACAATCTCTAACGGATTTAGACTTAAGTGGTTTACGTATTAGAAACATTCTTAGAAATATTTGTATATGTGAACCTAATTCTCTCATAAGAATGAATTTGGAAAGAAATTTATTTTGGAAATGGCAAGGTCCTCTTGTCGGTTTATCTAATCTACTTAATTTAAACCTTGCATGGAACTCGTGTGATTCATTGACCGTAGACGTATTTGACCAACTAAGAAGTTTGATATCATTAAACCTTACAAGGAATTTCATTGAGAAATTTTTACGGGAAGATACGGAAGGGCGTATATTCAGAAAGCTAAAGAATCTTCAATTCATGTTGCTTTCTGATAATAAAATACGTTACCTTCCCCTTAAGATATTCAGTGGTCTGGCATCATTACGAGGACTCGATTTATCCAATAACTTTTTGACAAGATTTGACGTTATGCTTTGTCACGCAGCTCCATTGCAAGTCTTAAATTTAAATGACAATTTACTGGATTATATAGGAAAAAATATTCGTGATAAAATGGACAGCGTTGGCACTGTAAACTATGCCTATCAGTATAATTATATGGATCTTTCGGACAACAAGCTTTCGTGTACTTGCAAAACCATTGATTTTGTTCATTGGTTGTCCGTTTCAAAGGTTCAGTTCATGCAATTCGACGACTACATTTGCAAAGATAAAAATGGAGAAATAAAAAAGTTAAAGTTTGCAGCGGAAATAACATTGGAATTAGATAAAGAGTGTGCTAATTATATCACGTTGATAATATGTCTTAGCATTGGTTTTGTTGTGTGCTTAGTTGTAATAATTCATGGAATTATGTATAGATATAGATGGGACCTGCGATACTTCTACTACTCATTTAAACTTAAAATGAAAGGAAGCAATCATCTCCTTAAACACGAGGGTGATGTCAACGACTACGAATATGATGCGTTTGTTTCGTATGCAAATGAAAACGGAAATTTTGTGAAAAACGACCTTGTGCCTGAGCTCGAAGACAAACGTGGCTTGCGACTGTTAGTTCACGATCGGGATTTCCGTGCTGGGGAGTTCGTATGTGACAACATTATGAGTGCAATTACAACATCAAAAAAGACGCTGATAATAATGAGTAAACATTTCCTGAAAAGTGACTGGTGTATATTTGAAATGAACATGGCGAGGATGGAGACAATCAAAACTGGGCGAAATGTTCTATGTGTAATCATGCTGGAGGAAGTTCCTAGCAAAGGTTTGCCTTTAGAGATCCTAGATATTGTGCGTCAACAAACTTACATGGAAGTTCCGTTAAACGATGAACACATGGATTTATTCTGGGACAGAGTTCACGCTGCAATGATAGAGTAAAATATGAGTGAACAGAGTTCACGCTGCAATAATTGTTAAATTATAAATATGAGCAGACAAAGGTCAAGCAGCAATGGTAGAATTAACCATGGATGCATAGAGTCCATGCTAATAATATAGTAAGATATGGGAAGAGGGAGTTAACGCGGCAATTATATAAAGAAAAATTGGGTGAAAACAGTTCATGCTGCAAAAAATAGAGTTAATATTATAAATATGAGTGGGCAGAGTTCATGCTGCAACAATAGAGGTTAAAATAAGTGGACAGAGTTTACGCTGTAATAATTGTTAATTAAAATATTGATTTAATGTAATTGATTTTCTTGAAAAATGCATTACAGAAAATATTACATGAACACAACCTTGTTATTTTAACACACATATTATTTGTTGTATTTTTATCATGAACAAATGGACAGATCTTTAATGAAATATTATTTTATCAAAGAGATTGCGAGAGACTTTATTCGTCATATAAGGACAGGTTTATCTCCGTAAAATGTGCAATTTTGTGTTATATCAAGAAAGAATCTAAGAAAATTGTGTTTACCATTTTACAAAAAAAAACATGTTTAAAAGTGAGTTGATGTAGGCTTTCACAGTACATGTAATAACAATTAATAATTGAAATAAAAGTTTCTCTTAAATGTTCTCCATGGTGTTCTTATGACACGGCTATTAACATGGACTGGTAAAATTATATTTTTGCAACAAATGAATTTTGTATAGAATGTTTGACCATTCCATATATATGATGAACTCTGAGAGTGAAAAATACGTGATAAACTCTGGCATATGAACAAAAACTAACTGAACTTCTTAGATGCTATACTAAACTAAATATTAAATGAGCTATTCAAAGCATAGTCTCATTCTGAGTATGAATACTTAGTTCTTGATAAATGTAAATACATGTATATATATAAATATATGTAATATTAGCACGAGCCATAGATAACTTTGCCACATTCAATCCTTCTTAAACATTAGCCTTTTTGCTTGCAAATTACGTGCAAATTACGCTTCTGTACGCTCCCGTGGAATATGACTGTCAAGTATTTTGAATCCTTGGATAAACTAATAATATTCTTGACAGAGGATTGCATAATTTTCTTACAACTTTTTTAACATAAACTCATTCAATATTCTCTAATTGGTGAAATGAATTTAACTATTTAGTTATATCTTTAAAATACAGAGAGGTTTTTATAAAAACAAACATTTTGCCAGTGTAAACAGTCATTCTAATTTGTTTATTATCTTGGTGGTTTTATGGGGGAATTATCCTTTATGTATTGAAAGTTTTTATGGAGGAAATTATTCGTTATGTATTTTATAGTTTTATTGTCTATAATAAATAAAAAGACCGTTTTTGAAAGCAGACTACGACAACACAAGTTGAATGCAACACAAGTTGAATGGATCAAGTAATATAGGAGTATTTTCGTTTAGTTTATGAAATCATGGCATTACTAACCACGACATTTGTGTTTGCGCTCTTACTCGTTTGTGTGAGATGGAATTTGATAAAAGGAACACAACAGCGGCAGTATTGTTATCGAGAAAAATCAACAACGTTAAAGTGCAATTACATTCCGAGAGACATTCCTTTCGGAATTGATTCAGTGCGTCTCATGGATTTTAAAAAACTAAAAGAAATATTTATAGTGAACAGTACACAGTTTCAATCAGAAAATTGGGGAAGGTTAAAATCATTTGAGATATCCTACAGTGGTGACGAATCCATTGTTACTGTTATATTTAAAACAGGCTGTTTTAAAGGTTTAAAACACCTTCGTGAGTTACACATTCACCTCGTACCTATCTTTATTCTTGAAGGGCAAGTCTTTGAGGGGCTTAACTCGCTGAAACTGCTGGACCTTAGCGGATGTCTTCGGATGTCTATCGGAGTATTATTGCCAGGTCTAACAGGACATGGAATATTACCTCAATTAGAAAACTTAAAGCTAGCAGCGATGAATAATTATAGAAAACCAGTTGTTATTAACGATAAATTTGCTCAATCAATAGGTGACAAGAATATTACTTCCCTAGATTTGAGTTATGTACGTATTGAAGAAATAAATGCAACGGCTCTCGTTAATTCTGTTAAGACTCTGAAAAACGTGAACGTGTCTTTTTCTTTTATTACTACGTGTTACACGGACAAAAACAGTACTATTAATAAATTCGACCAGCTCAATGTTTTGGATATTTATCATCTCTCTTATTTCAGAGTAATTCCACCCTCGAAGATGTTAAATAAGTCGTGGAATACTTCGGACTTTAAAACCTTTTGGGTTTCTCTCATTGCTCCAAAAGTTGTAAACATCAGCGGTTTGTTGCAATATCCGTCCTCAATTTGGATAAGTAATAGCACATTAAACATCAATTCACAATTTAAAATGAGAAGTGAGGAATTCATAGGCACACACAATAATTTAAAACATCTAGACCTGGTGTTACAGTGCAACGGTTTCTCAGCAGTAACGATAAAACATATCGATTTGTCAGAAAATGGGCTAGACTTCATACACCCTAGTTTGTTATCATGTTCACCTAACCTCCAACACTTAGATCTGTCCAATAATCAGCTTTTCAAAATGGTATCAACACACAGTAAATTATTTCAGCAGCTACTGATTTCTATTCAACGTCTAAAAGTAATCAAATTTTCGTCAAACTTTTTCAAAGATATTCCTCGTGATGTGTTTATCAAGAATAATAAACTGGAAGAAATAGATTTATCATACAATGAACTCGGCCAGGTGACTTTTGCTCTTTATCAGCTTGGAAATCTCAAAGTTCTCAATCTCCGCGATAATAAAATTAAGATTTTGTCAGAGAGTTCTATGCATAACATAAACTCTATAAGCACAAAGTCGCCATACTTCAAAAGCAAGAAAGCGGCCGTGTATCTGGACAATAATCCAATTTCATGTTCTGAATGTAAAGCTAAAGAGTTTTTACAGTGGCTTACAAGTACAAAATCTGTAAATGTTCTTACGCCAAAACTCACGTGCGTGAATGAAAAGGGCTTAACACGGAATATAAATGATAAAGCATTACAACTTGTAATGGAGATATGTAAGAAGAGAATAGTGATCGTGACTACAGCCGTGTCTGTAGTTGTTGCAGCTGTCCTAATCATGTTGGTGGTGGTGACAATACACAAATGCCGAAAGCGTGCTGTGAAGAAAGCAAACAAAAGAACACTTCTACAAAACCTTCAAGAAGGTCACGGCGAGTTTGAATTCGTTACATTCTTATCTCATAGTAGTGAAGACAAAGATTTTGTCAATGAATACCTGGTGGAACAGTTAAATGAAACTCTGCAACTAATGACAGGTATAGATAGAAACCTAGTATGCACGGGTGATGACTTCCTTCGACCAGGCTTCAGAATCCTAGACGAGATAACAAACTGTATTGAAAGATCTTCGGTTTTCATTGTGGTCGTATCGGATCATTTCTGTGAGAGCATGTATTGTCATCATGAAGTGGAGATGGCCTTTCGTCTTCACAAACCTATTGTGCTAATGATCATCGGACAAGTTAATGAAGACTTAATGAAACCACTGCTGAAAACATTGTTCAAAAGCACTGTTCGGGTTCTTTGGACAATACACAAAGATGAGTATGTAATGAACAAAACATGGGCCGATTTTTGCCGTGCTATGCTAGACCTTATAGTGGAAAATATCAAATAAAGCTTGTTATATAATGGAATCTGTTTACACTGGTACTTAACCCAACAAAATAATAAATAAAAAAATCCTTTAAGACTTGAATAACCAATAAAACAAATATATGTAACAGAAACAATGCTTCTCATAATCAATTCGTTTTGCTTTAAGTGTAAAATATATACCGACTTTACATTTGACAAGGTCTGTTAAATTGGGACAGATCGAAAATAAATCATCTGTGATCAAATACAGGCAAAAAGACTATGAAAAATGTACATTTATACGGCAGAAGGGGTCAAGTGTTGTGTGGTGACAGTAATTAAAATGGCTCCCATACTTATTGCAAGTGTTTTTCTATTTGTCGTTAATAATCTTGTGGAGTTGACATTTCACAATCGGACTCAATGACTTATTATGCTATTGCACTTTTTAATATTGTTTCCCAGGAGTTGCCTCATACGTAGAAAATAAATATTTTCTGCAACAATGTAGCTGCAACAACTGCCGACATTATCAGTGTTATGCTTGTTGTATTTTGATGTAAATAATACGTGCTTGTAAATTTTCTGAATAAAATATGTTTAAACCAAATGTTTTATCTCTTGAAATTAATAAAAAAAAAATATTTTTTTAATTTTAATTAAAATTAAAAGTGGACAAAACTTGAATTATTTCAGGAATAATCTTATATAACTCTACATTCCATAAACGTTGCTCTCCCTTGATGATCTTTGCTGTTAGTAAATTACAAGAGTTCCGCTGAAGCGGAGCAACATACGCTCGATGGCAAATTTTAAATAACGTATTACAAAAATATACTTGTTGGATAGATAGTAAATTTATTATCAAATGCTTGAACTTGGAAACTTAGGTAACTACCCTATTATTCTCCGTATTGTTTTTAGTCACATAAAAGAAAGAATGGCCACATGTATGAGAATTTACGGAATAAATGGCATAGAAAAAGTACAGTAACCTATTGTTTCTGAAGCCAACTAAGTATCCAAATGTAAGCATGGATGGACAAACAAAACCAAGCCATACTATAATAAGTCCCAAAGGTTATCGGTAGTAATTTCAATGTCAAACTACAAAGTTGTTTTTAGAAGTTCTACGAGACGGTATTCAAGAAATTGAAATTAAATTTATTGAAATCTTTATTATTAAGCTTTTTTATCTGTTAAGTAATAGAAAGAGCATCGAAACACAAGGCTATCAGATTGCCGAGTGTTTTGATGTTCTTTCCCTTTTGTATCATAGTCAAACATAAAAACACAGATTGTCACAATATGGAACCCCGGAGAAAAGTAGCCAATGAACGAGCATCTAAATATGAAATTTCTTCCACTTTTCCTTTCTCTGCCGTCACAATATGTAAACCCCAGCAAAATGAGCCAATCAATGGGCATGCTCTGGAGTGCGTGTAACTAATACCTGCATTCCATTTGACGCACGGTATATGTATACGCTTTAACTCGGCACATTTTCATCAGAAAGGTCCCCAACCATGATACAAACTTAATTTAACGGCACCGAACCATATTCCGACGTGTATGCGTGGGTATTTTAAGTGTTTGACATATGCAATTGGAAACCACAGTTTATATATAAACAGAAATGCAGAAATCTTTGCCAGTTGTGGTCGCACAGTTTCACAAAGGGTCAAGCATATTCTTAGGGGGAAATTGACATTTCACTGATTTTCCGATAGTCATGAATAAAAATTTTGCTGTTTTTTTTTGTGTGATTGATATCCAAATCTCAGAGGAGGTTCACATACAAGCAATATACCTAGGGGTCATCAGACCCCCCCCCCCCTCCACGTTCCAACGCCTCTGAGTCTGCGCATGCAACAGTGTATATTTACGGCAGTGGAGGCAGTCCTGGATCTTTGATCTTAACAAACGTGGAATATCAAAACAACTGAGCAAATATAAAGTCTTCTGATAAAAAGATCTTTTCTTTTGCGATATAAGTCTATGCGATATAAGTCTATGTAAACACTGTGATCTTGGAGGCGGTTATTTTGATCGGTAGGCTAAATTTTACCCTAAGGGTAGTAGTTATAATTAAGGTTGATTCCACACTTAACTGGAATTTTATATATGTAGATAATTATGCTTCTAAACAATTTTCAAACATCGAAGAATATGTAAAATATGTACTGCAAATATTTGTCCACATTAAATGTAATCATTAAAATATAAGCATTCATTTCTTATTGAAAAATTTTACTAAGACTTTATAGAAAATAAATTTCTAATTACCTCCCTTTATTAACATGATATGTTGAGTCGGATATATCTTTACAAACAAGAGCTGTGAGAGGAGACAGCGAAACTCGACTAATAAAATACTGGACGCAGTAAGGAAGACAACACTATGAAAGAAAAATCAATTATATTATAAATATATTTCTTCTTATGAGTAATAGTTGTTAACATAAATTCCAAGTTCAAGGGAGGAAAATTCTGGAAATAGTTACACTAGAGTTATGGACCTTGTCACACAACATGTGTGTAATGATAAGAAATATATATTTGAAGTTTGAGGTAGATACCTTAACAAGAGGGCCATGGTGGCCCTGAGATCGCTCACCTGTATATAGGCTTTGTAGACACTCACTAGAAGATGTTTCATGCTTAATATCTAAACTCTAGCTATTTGGATTTTTTCAAAGAAGATTTTTTAAGTTTTTGCTATACACATATAAGGAAAATCAACGACCCCCGGGGAGGGGCCAATTTTGACCCCAGGGCTTTTATTTTAACAAACTTGGTAGACACCCATAAGAACATGTTTCATTCTAAATACATGTATCTTGGCTCTAGCTCTTTGAGTTCTTTAAAAGAAGATTTTTTAAGCTTTTACTATATGCATATAGGGAAAATCAATGACCCCCTGGGGCGGGGCCAATTTTGACCCCGGGGCTTTTATTTGAACAAACTTGATAGACACTCATAAGAAGATGTTTCATGCTAAATATCTTAGCTCTAGCTCTTTGGGTTCTTTAAAAGAAGATATTTAAAGTTTTTTCTTTCGGTTGCCAAGGCAACCAGAGTTCTGCATGGAATTAAATTCTTTTGAACAATTTTTAAAGTTGATACCTTAAGAAATGAAAAAGTTATAGTGAAAAATATTTTACTGCACCAAAACTTTATCTGAAATCTGGACGTGGACGCCGACACTGGGGTGAGTATGACAGCTCTCCATATTCTTTGTAGTCAAGCTAAAAAGCTTTTTGGAACTTACAATATTCTTATCGTCAAAGAGGCTGCAAAGACCAATAAAATGAGAGTAAAGCAGACACAAACACTTATTAGCAAAATCTACCAAAACCAATTTATTATAATTACATTATGGTATGTAGTATTAATAGCTACATATATACGATTTCGTAAAAGTTGCTTACAATATGATGGGTGTATACATCAACAAACACAGTTAGGTAGATTTGTCATTTCAAAAATATTAAGTAAATATTGCGATCTAACAAAAATATAGAAATAGATGAAACTGATTCATTTATAAATCATCTACAAACTATTTAATTGTAACCATAGTCTTCCAGTCTCCCTAGAATAGCAGCAACTTCGATTTGGATTTTCAAACCCTTGGTAAAGGCCCAACCCTGCAGTAAAGGCCCCGCCCTGCGGAGACAGATACTAAAATCCCGCTAAAAAATTTGGCACTGCAATACAAACATCATATCTTCAATCAATTTGTTGCTAAAACAAAACCACCCAATTGACCTCGCAGTGTGGGGACAGACAATATGTAAAAGCTTTGTTCATTTCCCACCTTGCCTGGGGATGGGGCTGACTGTTGGTTACCATTTTCTGGTGCATTAGACGACAAAATCATCAAATATAGAAAGTTTCTTCTTTTCTAAAGCTGTATTCAAAATGTACTGATAAATATGCATGCTAAAAACAAAATATTTCATTTTCATAAACAAATACATGCTAAAAACAAAGTATTTCATTTTCTCACATATACATGTATACATGCTAAAAACAAAGTATTTATACATGCTAAAATCAAATATTTCATTTTCTTACACATATACAATGTACATGCTAAAATCAAAATATGTCATTTTAAGCTTAAATATGGAAGATAAAAATCAAAATTTATTCATCATTTCAGCTGAACAATCATAAATGTATAATAACTGATAGTATTGTAAATAAAAATGTTTTAAACAAAACTTTCAATAGGCCACAAGGTATAAGGACATAAAATCACACGGAACATTTAGGATACCTAAACAACTGTAATAAAACATAATAAAACATTGTCAACATACAAGCTACATGTATAAACTTCCTCTGTGCTGTAAGGCTAATTTGTAAGTTGTTTAATATCATCTTACATCAACAATTTTATATATCAGCCACTTCAAACGTTTAGGCAAATCTATATTAAGATATTTTGTCTCTGTGAAATATTTTATGAGTTAGCTTTAAATTGTATAAATTTTAACACTTTTATTTCACCTGTTCTTGTGAATGCATACTTGATAATCATAAATTTGGATAACTCTAGGGTCAGTTTCCATGGATATATCAGAACTTTTTTCATACATGATCATGACCCATCACCCAGAAACCTTTTACCACTTGGCCATCCCTCCCTTTCAAACTGTGGTAAAAACAATATTGACATATATTGAGTACAATTTGAAAGCTTAAATATGTATGGCCAACATGTATAAATAGTTGATTCACCAATGGTAAGTTAAGCAAATATCTATAAATAAGAGAAATATAACTGTAATATAGGTATGTAAAAAACAGCTAATAATAACATGCCTTCAGTACGGAAGTAATGATCTTGTTCAGTTTAAGTCACACAAACACTACAGAAGTGATTTTCCAGCTTTACTGGAGGTGCTCTTTTGTGCAAGAGCAAGCACTGCAGTAGAACCATCGACCTGTAAGCTAGCTGGATAACTTCCTCACATGTGGTGAGAGTCAGTAAGAAAATGTAATATTTATCTGACCTTAAAAGGGTATAAAGCTATATCTATCCTATTGCTCTTCTATTGTGTAGCATACAAAAATGCAGTTCATCCAACATTTGACTAGAACAGTCTCTGTATGGCAAGAGTTTATTTAAACATAAATTAAGATCCCTTTAGGAGTATAATACATGTACATCTGATTCAATGTTATCTTACATACTAGTATAGTACAGTTGATTTTTATTGTTGTTTTATTTTTAAATTTAACCTCCTGAATTTCTGATACAGACTCATTTAGCTCCTTTTTTGGAACTATCATTTATCAAATTTGGAGAAATGAAGATGAAAATTTAGAATAATACATCCAAGATTGTTTACACTGCAAGGCAATGCAAGCTGGCCTGGCTCTATTCTGGTGCCGAAAGCTTATCAATTTTGGCAAGAGCAGTTTAAAGATTAAAAAGGTATCTAACATAGGCACAGAGAAAAAAGAGAGAGAAAAACTGACAAGATATAAATGTTTTTTTATTTTTTAAGACTATATAATCATGTATATGTATATATACAACATGGTTAATAAATCACAAAGACTCAAGTCTTAATTAAATACAGTGTA